AAGACTGATTTATCTTTGAAAAAGTGTCAGGTTGATTGATTTAATTACTATGAAATGCAGGGTTTTATGTAGTTACTTCAGAAAAATCATCTCCTCTTCAAAATTCGTATCTTAGCTCAGCACATTTTCTGCCTATCCACCCAATTAAGTGGATTTGAAGCTCAAATTTCCAAAATATTTCAGAGTATGATTTTTAAATCATGAAACACATTTTATTCATTTCAGAATGTAATTTTCTTACAGACAAACAAGTTATACTCCTTATAGTAGAGAGTAACAATGACTAATAGGACAATTAATATGTAGATAAAAAATATGCAGGATATATTCAGTAAAATCCAGGGTAATTAACATCATGATAGCAACTCTTCTTTGTCAGAGCAGAGATTTCCAAATATTCTATGGATTAGAAAGAAAGTATGTATATGAAATGAAATAACTGAGAAGTTTATTATATATTGGTGTATTATATATATTACAGCAGAGGAAGTTTTGTCTGAGAAATATGATGGAATAGGCCAATTATAACACTTTTAAAATGTTTCCCTAAAATATTTTAAAAGAGCATCACACTCAAGTATGATATAGTACTTCAGTATGGTTGGTAAACAGTTTAATATAAATATTGTTGGCATGTACCTGTGGAAGTCTTCTTTGGTTTCAAACAAAAGACTAATAAACTTGTGAAAAACCGTTTTAATTTCCATTAGTGGTTACTATCAGAGATAGCTTATTAATAAATGGAATAGTGAATAAAATTAATATTTGATGCTGCAATTGTCTTTATTTTGAAGGTTGAGATTTTTCTGTTTGCAAATTTCCATATTAACTCTCAAGGATCAATCAATAAGAGAGACAATTTGCTTACCATTCAATTCAAAATATACAATGTAGTGGATTTTAGTATATTCACAGTTGCAATTATCACCATGCCCAATTTTAGAACATTTTCACTGCTCACAAAATCTTCTTTGATTATATTTTAACAACAACTCAGTCTTTCTGGGAATTGTAATAAAGAATTGTCATAAAGGGCTGGCATTGTGGTATAGCCAGCAAAGCTAATACCTGCAATGATGGCATCCTTTATGGATGCAGATTTGTGTCTTGGATGCTCCACTTCCGATTCAGCTCCCTTGTAATGAGCTGGAAAACACAGAAAGAAGATGGCCAAAGTGTTTGGTTCCTTGCCACCTACATGAGAGACCTGGATGAAACTCTTGGCTCCTGGTTTCACCCTGACCCAGCAATGGCCATTGCATCCATCTGGGAGTGAACCAGTGCATGGAAAGATTGATCTCTCTCTGTCTCTTCCTCTTTCTGTAACTATAACTTTAAAAATAAATAATCTTTTTTTTTTTAAAAGAACTGTCATGATGGGTATATGAAGGAGGAATGTTTACAGTTTGATGTGCCCTCTGTTCTGCTTTTTAATTCCTACCAAGTCTGAGACAAAGTGGGCTTATAATTAAAACAAAAACAAAAATAAAACTAACCATAGGTCATGACTACAGTAAGAAACTGTAATAAGCGAAAATAAAGAGTCTGCATTCATGAGCAATTTGATGACGAGTCCATTCAGGTTCACTTCCAGGACATATAGTTCCCTGTATCTATTTAAATGTGAACCATCTTATGTCTTCTAGTCTGGCAAAGGGCTAAATTGTGTCAAGTTTGTACATCTTGATGGCAAAGAAATATTGAGTATTTTCATTATAATTCATTAAAACCTTCATGAAATTCAAATATTCCTACCTCAGAGAAGGAATCAATATATAAGTGGTTGTTATGTCATACTCAGGGAAACCTGTGTGTCCCTTCACCCAATGGATGTGTCTATATGCATACTCATATATGTATCTCTCTCTCTGTGTCTCTATCTCTTTCTTACACACACACACTCACAATACTGCAGGTTACTATCTATTCTTTTTGTAATTTCATTCAGTCATTTCTAGAAGTAAAGTCATATCCAGATACCTAGTTTAATTGTCTTACTTTTGTATTAAAATTATTATAAATTACTAAAAAGACTCATTCACTGCTTCCCTTTGAATAAAATTTCATAAAATTTGAAAACAGAAAACAATATTCCTGTTCTACTTTTAATATAACTTAAGCTTTCTCTTTCCAGCTCTTTCCACTTCCTCATTGTCCAGTTTTCCAACATAAATGAATCATAAGAAATTTCTACAGAATTAATTACTCTTTATATATATAATCATTTATTGCCCTAAGAAAGAGTTTTGAGTAAATATCCCTGTTAGGATCTTATGAATTTCTGAGAAGGCTTAGAGTAAAGATCCCTTTTTAAAGGAATATATTAAATATACTTGGTCATAAAACTTTTTTTCAAATTTGTCTATTTAAATATAATGTAATGTTGTGAAAAATGGAACTGTTAAGACGCAAGAAGCAGCTGACATGTCAACCTCACTATATTCAGGCTTTGCATTCTGAAAATGAGTCAAAACATTAATGTGACTTTGTTTGGATACTCTATGCTTGTAACTAATTTTCATTTCATTTCCCAGAAGAAATAATATGATTAGCCTAGCTCTGGAGAGATGTGGCTGACAATAAATGCAATATTAATGACTCATTTCAGACCAGAATTTTGTCATGTTGGATTCTCCATCCAAACTCATAGTCCAAGAAAAGTCAAAGGATTGGGTCTTAGGTCATCAGAAAAGGAAGAAAGTTTTATGCCAATCACCATGGCAGCTGTGCCTTGTGGCTGGAGTCTAGCCCTCTTACTATTTCACTTTCCATCCCTACATACTCTGAGCTCATTACCAGGAGCTGGGGCCTGTACGCCGCACCTATCGTCCGTAAAGTGGGATATATACACATGTAACCTTGAAATGACTGCATCAGAGCTAGTGGCTCACTTTTAACTAGTGTAATTATAGATCTGATAGTGTTTGGGAGTCCATTATGCTTATTTAATACCCCAAAAGAAAACATTTTCTGTAGGTAAACACTGCATATATTCAATATATGACAAATATTTTTGGGGCTTAATTCATTTTTTTATTTTTCAAAGGCATTTAATTTTATATTGAATCTTTTACTTCATTAATTTTCTAAAAATATATCTCAATATTTTGAAGAAATTCTGCAGTAAATTTTTTTAGGTTAGAACTTCTGTGCATAATACTTTTATTACTAACAGATATTCTCTGTTGATTTAGCCTTTCATAAAAATGTTGATTTTTTTATGCTTTTATCTTGGTCTCTCCTTATAATGATGTTAATATTTTTATCTCCTCTTTTCTTTTCAGTCTCCATTTAACAGGTCAGGTTTGTCATTTTATTTTTAGATTATTTTACTTATAGGAATATCTTTATAAAGAAATAATGTCACAGAATTATTTACTCTTTAAATCTAAACCCCTACTGGTTTTTTTTTTTTTTTTTTTTTTTTTTTTTTTTTTTTTTTAGATTTACTTAGTTGAAAGTCAGAGTTACACAGAGAGAGAAGAAGAGGCAGAGAGGGAGAGAGAGTCTTCCACCCACTGGTTCACTCCCCAGATGACCGCAACAGCCAGAGCTGCACTGATCTGAAGCCAGGAGCCAGGAGCTTCTTCCAGATCTCCCACGTGGATGCAGGGGTCCAAGGACTTGGGCCATCTTCTACTGCTTTCCCAAGCCATAGCAGAGAGCTGGATTGGAAGCGGAGCAACCAGGACTTGAACCAGCACCCATATGGGATGCCGGCACTGCAGGCGGCAGCTTTACCCTCTATGCCACAGTGCCAGCCCCTGGTTCTTTTTTTAATTAGAGGCATTTATAAGTATTTACACTCACTTTTGCAGTATTAACCTTGGCTTAGATTCTGTCAACTTTTCACAGTTGCTGTGGCCTTCTTATTTTGTTTTTTATTTCTATCTTTTGTTGGATAACTAATATTTGTCTACCTTTTTTATTGAAATGATTTTGTGTCTTAACGTTTCTATTTCTATTTATGCTTACTGTTTATCAAAACAATCGTATTTATCTAATTCTTAAGTTAAAATCTGAGGATTAATTTTAGAAATACTTTATAGAAAAAAAAAGATTGTTAATTTTTGAAAGGATTGATTTGTTATTTGAAAGGCAGAGTTACAGAGAGAGAGGAGATACACACATAGCTTTCATCTGTTAGTCCACTCCCCAACTGGTTGCAACAACCAAGATGGAAGCCAGGAGCCAGGAACTTCTTCCTGATCTCCCACAAGGCTGCAGGGGCCCAAGTACTTGGGCCATCCTCTGCTACTTTTCCAGGCCAGTAGAAGGGAGCTGAATCAGAAGTGGAGCAACTGGCATTCAAACTGGCGCTTATATTGGATGCCAGTGCCGCAGGCTGTAGCTTAACCCACTGTCCCAAAACTCCAGCCCCCAACTGTTAAATTTTTTACCAACCTTATTAATATGAAGTTGCACACATTTTGAATAAAACTTATGAAATTTCCAGGTTATTTTTTAGCACTTTAATGTTATAATGGTTACTGTGTTTATATATGCTTTTCAAAATTGATTTACTGAGCAATTTTTAAAAATGTTTAATGTATATATATTAGAAATGTAATTGCTCCTTATGTCATTCATCCTTGCTAGTAAGTTTTTCTCATGAGATTTTGTAGGTTATGTTTTCTCTTCAATGTTAGTATGCATGCATAGTGTTAATAAGATCTTTTTTTTTTTTTTTTTCAATAAATACCCGTCTTTGTTTTTCCCAGTGACTTGATAGAACAGGCAGAGAAGGTGTGCTTAAACCAAGCCCCAGCTGGGGAGTGGGAACGCTGGGCTGTGGATCACATCAGCTCACCAAGGGAGCAGGGACGAAGGCCTAGAAGAGAGGAGGGAGCCAAACAGACCCTCAGGCCACCATGCCCGGCCTGGGAGCCACAGATGCCCTGTGACCTTGTCACTGCCCTGGTCTTCAGGCATATAAAGCTCAGTGTCATCTTCAGTCACCCAGGGGACCTGGGGTCCTCCCATGCCCACTGGACCAGGACAGGTGACAGTCTTCCTCACTCCATGGCGATGGGGACATCTTCTACGTCACGAGGGACTGCGCTCTGAAGCTCCCGCCTGATTTCGGGGGACAGCTGTGGGTGGGGCTGCAGCCGGAGCAGTTCCATGAGGGTTTCTTTCTGTTCTGTGGCCAAATCTGCCTTGTAGCGCTGGACCAATGTCAGCAGGCACTGGTGCCGGAGCACGGGCAGCTCCCGCTTCTCTGTCCGGAACGCCAGGAAGTGGAAGACCAGGGCATCCAGCACGCGGTAGGGCAGTGCGTACTTCTTATCCAGCAGCAGTCGTAGGAAGATGCTGTTGGCACCACTGTATTCCATCTCGGCGATTTTCAGCCTGGCCGCGCTGGAGTGCAGCACAGGGATAGAGCACTTGGTGATGATGCTGCCCACGATGATGGCTTCCCGGAGAGTACAAGGCCTGACTCGCACAGGGGGATCAGGATCCCTTTGAACCAGGCTCCAGGCTTGAACAAGGCCTTCTTGAGCGCCATGTACAAATGGAAGTTGAGTCGTTTGTATTCAGCGATGTCATCTCGTATGCGGGGGAGCAGGACGAGGTTGTAGAAGCGCTGGGCCATGCGTTCTTTCAGGTTAGAAGCAAAAATCCTGGTGGCTTGGTACATGGCGGCCGCAGTCCAGGCCTCAGGCTCTGTGACATAGAGGATCTGTTCCCAGTTGGAGAGTGCAGGGATGATCTTAAAGGCCTTGGGCAGTTTCCCGCTGCGGTACTTAGACAACACCTCCCGGACCCCCCTGTAGACCTCCAGCACCCGGGGGTCCAGCTGGGGCATAGGGAAGCCTGACACCTCTGACATGACCGTCTCGACCTCCGTCTGCTTCTCAGTCAGCTTCTCCATGATGATGTCGGCCAGGGTGCGCCTGGCAGGAGGGTTCTTGTTCATGAACATCTCAATGGCACGCTCATCCTCAGGGTCCACGACCACCTCTGCATGGTGGTCTACCCCCTTCATCGTGGCAGCCTTCTCCAGGGTGGGCCACTTCTCATCCTCATCGTCTGACCCATCCTGTGGCACTCCAGGACCCAGCCGCGTGGCGCGCTCCCGAGGCTTGGCGGGCCCGTCCCCAGAGCCGTGCTCGGTTTCCAGCTCCTCCTGTTGTTGCCGTGCTTGCTGCAAAATCCGCCGGCTCAGCCGGGGCCCCACATACTCTTCCTCCTCTTCCCCGGTTCCGTGGCCCCGCCGCTTTTCCCGGGCACTTGCCCGCACCGCGTTCCCAGCCAAGATCTGCTCTGCCAGGGGCGCGTGTTTTTCCTGAGCACCAGCCCCACGGGCCGCTTTGAATTTCGGCATTTTTCTCGATAATGCGGCCCGGCAAACTCACACGTGGGTGTGGCGACAGCCCAGGATGTGCGCTCCGTTAATAAGATCTTAACCAAGTTGGTCTGGTGTAGACATGATCCACTATGGCTTCTCTCTTCATATACCAAAGAAGGTTCCCATATTGTCAGAGTGAGGCCTTTTTGCTGTGGGTGTTGGCTGCTTTCTGAAAAACAAGATTTCAACCCTGAGCTGGTAATTCCGTCTTCTCTGTGTTGCTGATTCTCGAACAACAGATTCTCTAACAGACAGGTAATGTGGAACAATGTAACTGCCATTGCTCCAGTGATTTGATGAATTATAATTTGCGTTAACTTTCAGCTCCAAGAAATACTTTGCCTTCAAAAAAGGAGGGTGGGAAGAGAACAACAATCTAAGGTTTTGAATTTCAGAAACTGGATGTCATGACCACTTAAATTCATTGTTCAAAGGAAAGTTATAGAAGACCAAGTTATTATTCGTTTTGTTGGAGAGGTCTGGCTTTACTCTGGAAGTTGCTGTTGGTATTAATAAATCTGAGAGATATTAGAGGCACAGTAACCTTCACAACTGAAGAACATGGCCAACAGCCAGAACGGAAATCGGTATGGAAATCAGTGGTCACACAGACACTAATACTGGCCCACATATGCAGTGGAACTAAGTTTGAGGTAGGTAAATATGAAAAATAGTAGTGTCTTTTTGGCTTAATTTTCTCAAGATATTTTCTCAATTATGTCAATATCTCTTAAAATAACATAATTCAGAACACTGTTATTTGTTTAAGTAAAGCATGCCATTTCTTTCAATTACGTTTATTAGCTACCTAGAGTGCTGCCCTGTCTGAACCCATGTCTCCGGGAGTGGTATTTTGCTAGTGGTCAAGACACTGGCTGGCATGCCGCATCCAGATGCAAGTGCCTGCGTCCTACTTCCTGCTTCACTCCTGATGCTAGCTTTTCAGATAAGTCAGACTCTGGGAGCCAGCATGTAAAGATTCACATGTTTGGGTCCCCACCATCCCTGTGGGACTTTTGGAGAGTAAACCAGTAGATGGAAGCTCCCTCTACTCTCTCTGTTTCTCTGTCTCTCAAATATTTTAAGAAGTATGTTCGAGTCTTCCTTTTTTTCTCCACTGCCTTTACAACTAACTGCTCTCCATTCTTATATTTTCCTCATGGCAATCATAAGAACTACATGATATTTTTAATAAAAAGTTATTGCTATTATCTTTTTTGAACATTGCATACATTTTGTTACAGCATATCACTTTCATCTGTTACACGGTTATTTAATTATAAACTTTTATCCTTGAAAGTTTAAGGTATAATATTCTGCTGGTAATACTAGTAACTTTTTTATGTTATATGACACTATTTTCATTTGATTGTTTCTGTACTTACTTCAGTTAAGAGACAGCTATACAAATCCATTATTGAAGAACAGGAAAAATGTTATTTAATTTCAGAATAGTGCCAGAAGGTTTTGGTTCTTTCCTTTAAAGGTGAGGACATTTTTTATGATTAAAAGCCTACTATGATGTGTGGCATTTTAACTTGTGGTTTGTGTGACACAAGCCACGTATTCAATGACTTTTTTGTCCTTCTAAATATGAGATGCCATTCACATCTTCTTATTTCTATGCAAAGAGATCTTTCCTAGGCACTGTGGTGGGAAAAAGAATTTTCCTGTCCAAAGTCTGGAAAATGGCAGAAAAAAATAAATTTAAACTTTCCTTAGAATACACTGAGAATTATAAAACATAATGATAAAATAGAGGATTAAAAGATTTCTTTATCTCTGGAAAGGCTTTTTGTGTTGTGGGTGCAGGGTTAGGTTTCCCATCGTCAAATCAGATTTCTTCCCTTTTCCTTACAATATATATTTTTGTGAAGTAGGCCAACGCCTCATTGATGTTCTTGTCTCTCATTACAGTGTATGCCAAGGATAAGTATCCTGCCTGTAGTCTATACCCTCATGGCCCAATTGAACTTTCTGGTTGTTGAGGATTTATGTAAAAACTTTTATCAAAATTCTGTTAGATATTTTATTTCAGGCTTCAGAATTTTGTTTTGTATTTGGATAGTCTCCTGAAAATTTATAAAGGAATTTGGAGGTTGAAGTCTCAAGAAATTTTACTTTTCCTGCTTCAAGTCAGATTTTCATTGTTTTCAGGGCCTTGCTGATTTTAAAGCCTCAGTGATTTTTATAGAACTTGATGGCTAAAGCATAATTTGTAACCTGAAAACTTTAGACCAAATCCAATTGTCATTTTTGTTTTCTTAGGTGCACAAATGTTTCTAATGTTTAATGGCAAAATAAACATCTTGTTTTAAAAATTTTTTAAGTGTATTGTTAAGTGTCATTAAGTATATTCACATTATGGGGCCGATGCTGTGGCTCACTTGGCTAATCCTCCGCCTGCGGCGCCGGCATCCCATATGGGCACCAGGTTCTGGTCCCGGTTGCTCCTCTTCCAGTCTAGCTCTCTGCTGTGGCCCGGGAAGGCAGTGGAGGATGGCCCAAGTGCTTGGGCCCTGTACCCACATGGAAGACCAGGAGGAAGCACCTGGCTCCTGGCTTTGGATCAGTGTAGCTCCAGCTGTAGCAGCCATTTGGGGGGTGAACCAACGGAAGAAGACCTTTCTCTCTGTCTCTCCCTCTCACTGTCTATAACTCTACCTTTCAAATAAATAAATAAAAAATATTTAAAAAAAAGTATATTCACATTACTGTACAAATCATTACCAGTATTCATCTCCAGAACATTTCATGACCACAAGCTGAAACTCTGTGATCATTAAACAAAAATTAAACTCTGTGTCCATTAAATAATAATTTCCAAATGCCCCATAATCCCTTGTAAACACTATAGATTTCCTATGTCTCCGCATTTTACTACTCCTGATACCTTAAATAAATGGATTTGTATATGTTCTTTTTGTGTTTATATATTTCATTTAACATAATAGTTCAAATGTTTATTCATCCTGTAGCCTGTGCTAGAATATCCCTCTTTTTTTAAGAATGGGTAATATTCCATTGCATATATATGCCACATTTTGTTTATTAATTCATCTATCCACCAACATTTTGTTGGTGATGTGAATAATTCTACTGTGAACATTGGTGTACAAATATCTGTTTGAGTCTTTGAAACTCTTTCAATTACTTAGAATAAATACAGGAGAGTTGACTTGCTGAATTCAAAGTACTTCTATGCTTATTTTTGGCAGAGAGAATTGCAAATTGTTTTCCACAGTAACTGCACCATTTTACATTTCCTCTAGGAAGACATGCGATTTCCAGTTTTTCCACATCCTATCCAATATGTTGTATCTTTGGTTTGTTTTGATAATAAGTATGCTAAAAAGTGAAAAGTGCTGTCTCAGTATGCTTTTAATTTGCATTTCCACATTTGAAACACTTTGGAAACATTTTGAAAATGTAGCCAGTTCTGGAAAATGTAAAGAGTCTATATGGAAACCTGAAATTCCAGCTTCTTTGATAAACCGGAGTGTGTGATAGTATAGAGTTCTAACTTTCAGCTATGAGATGGGGCTGAGAAGTGGTAGCCCACTTTGGATAGAACACATGTTATCCAGATGAGGCAGAGGCTTCTCAGGCCACCCTACATAGCCCACTCATTTATGCTATTTGCATAGCCCATATAAATAGCAAGTTTGAAGTTGCTGCCATCAAATTATCTGAATGTAGCTTGTAAGTATTTTGATATTTAGTTGCCATGTTGTTGACTTGGGAGATAGAGATGAATTTATCAAGCTGAGTGAAATGAAATTTTAGCTGTTACGACCTTCTTAGATCTATACATATTGTGTTTGTGGGCAGCATTTAATTCAAAATGCATTCTAAATAAAAATTACGTCCTGAGGCCGGTGCTGTGGCACAGCGGGTTAACACCCTGGCCTGAAGTGCTGGCATCCCACATGGGCACTGGTTCGAGACCCGGCTGCTCCACTTCTGATCCAGTTCTCTGCTATGGCCTGGGAAAGCAGTAGAGGATGGCCCAGGTCCTTAGGCCCCTGCACCCACATGGGAGACTTGGAAGAAGCTCCTGGCTCCTGGCTTCGGTTCGGCGCAGCTCTGGCTAGTTGGGCCAATTGTGGCCAACTGGGGAGTGAACCAGGGGATGAAAGACCTCTGTCTCTTTCCCTGGCTCTCTCTCTCTCTCTCTCTCTCTACCTCTCCTCTCTCTGTGTAACTCTGACTTCCAAATAAATAAATGAATCTTTAAAAAAATTACCTCCTGTAGTATTGCTATTTTAAAAATCTAATTAAATTGAGAGATTCCAAGATGGCAGATTAGGGAAGGACATACTGTGCTAGGCTAGGGTTAGACAGTTTAAAAAATGTATAGGAATTGCACTCTCAGGGGAGAATTGGAGAGAAAACTGAACTGGAAATCCTACAAGAGGAAGAGGAACACCATGGAACTGTGTGGAGGTTGGGGATGAGCTGCATGAACAAGAATACAACAACTGCACTAGTTGACAGCTGGAGCAAGCGACAGCTTGGAGACCGAGGTGAAATCAAATTGCAGCAATCCATGGTGTGATAGCCAGAGAGAGCGTGATGTGAGCCCAGACTAGAGCCCTAGGGGCTAGAAGTTGCTAGCAGTTTCTCATTGATAGAGTGGAAGTAGAGGGTGCATGATTATCTTGCCCCAACTTCACTACAGTTCCATGCTGCCTTGCTGAAAAAGGGAAGGCGCCATTTTGGGTTTGGGTGGGACTTTGTGTGCATGCACAGCTACTGCCTGACATAGGACACCATTTTTTTTTGGCAGTACTGGCAGCAGTGGCAGGGTGAGAGCAACATTTGGCCAGTGGCTCTTGTGTATGCATGTGATCCAGAGGTAGCAGAGGGAACAATTCCTAGTCCCCACTGACTTTAAGCCTGGCTGGGAGGTGACTGGGCAACCTCATAGGACAGTAAGGCACCTGCATCTTCCCAGGATCAAGATGCATAGGCAGAGCTGTCTCTGGGGAAATCTGCTTCTCTGTTGACTGGATAGGCTGGCA